ACGTACACGCTCGATGCAGTTGCTTAGCGAAGCTGTTTGGCCGATCCAGCTCATCCGGACCTGGCAGGCAAAAGATGGCGGCAAACCTGTGAGAAATTGTTCCACAACCATAGGATCAGAATCAGAAGTTATCTTGTGGCCAGCCAATTCTACCAATCTTTGTAGATCTGCTGCATAACTCTCCACTGCCTCATCCCCACGTAACTGGCGTGTCGAAAACAATTGATATGCTCTTGTGCTCGACACCGAATAGGCATCCAACAACAACTTCTTTATTTTAGACAAATCTTTCTTGTCATCCGTGCTTAATCGGGAATAGAGGACAAATGCCGCACCATCAAGCAGGGATGGCAAATTTGCTGCTGCCTTAGTGTCGTCCCAACCATTGGCACTCGCAGCAGCCAAATACCTTGCCCAAAATACATCAAACTCTTCGCCGGCTGTTCCACGAAAGGGGCTTTAGCAATGTCTCAAACCTTAAAGCCATATCTAAGTTCACAAGGGTTTCGCTACCATAAATGTTACTGAATCGTAACCAGCTCAAACTCTAGCGCCCACAAAGCACTCACACATCTACAACAAGACACTCTTTCTTGATGTTATACATAGTTTCATACAGCAATGGATGAATAGAAGAAGAGGGAAGAGAAGGTCATAGTTACAGTACTTGAACAGTAGCCAGCAGCAGCTCACGACGCCATCAGGACCCGACGAGAACGAGGATGAAATGAGGAGAAACCACTGCCTTTATACCAGGGCCAGGCACTGGCGCCTAGCAACAGCCAATCAGAGAAGCTCATGTGACTACTCTATCTACTACAAAGAGTAATGAGTAATGATTACATCATTGGCATAAATGGAAAAAGACACAAAAAGGTAACACATGCAATTGTGGGATTCGAACCGGCAACAGCCATTCCAAAGGTCAAGGAATTAGCAGTAACTTCTATCAAGGTCTAACTGAGTGTCACCATGCATTGACACTACTACTACAAGATCGTGTTGCAATGGTGTCCACCACTCTGACCCATAGAGGAGGAGCGACAGCACACATGCATTAAACACGCACCTCTTGATATGCAAATCAAGGTCAGGATTGCTGAAGATGGTTCCTTGCAAGGCGCCACAAGCACGAGAGGCATGCGCAATCCGAGCAGTGATGTCCTGTGTCAACCGGCCACCGCGATGAATGAGAGATCCCAGATACCGGAACTCCGAAACACACTCGATGACCGTGCCAGCTAGCTCGATTGGAGCGCAGTCCCCAGGATTGGAGCGCAGTCCCCAGGCGAAACATCCCTGCCTGCAACCAAGAACTGTGTCTTGGTAGCGCTAACTTTAAGCCCAAACTCAGCTGCGGTCGGTCTAACACTGCAAGTGCCGTCTCGTCTCCACCCCTGCACGAGTCGTTGCGAAAAGTGCTGAGTCGTCTGTAAACTGTGACTCAGTGGCAATGGCAACCGGATCCGTCCTGGTAGGCTTGCGGTAAAGGTTATTGTCACCATCACAATGCCGGAACTCAAAACCAACACCGGGTACATCTCCGACTCGTCGCTGCCACACAGTCACCACCGCCCACATGAAGATGTTAAACAGCACAGGTGCCATGGTGCACCCCTGGCGGAGACCATTCGTGACGCGGATAGGGTCAGTTGTCGTGTTCTCTACCCGAACCACCGCCGACATGTCAGTGTGAAAGGAACGGATCACGGCAAGCATGGGAGCAGGGATACCCGCTCGGGATAAGACTTCCCACAGGCAATCCCGAGGCACAGAATCAAAGGCTTTATTGAGGTCTATAAATACAAAGAAGCCTTTGCAGTCGTGCTCAATGGTCTTCTCGAGGAACTGCCGAACACTGAAAACCATATCTGTACAAGATCGGCCACGCCTGAAGCCACACTGAGACTCTGGGAAAAAATCCGCAGCCACGGACTGGAGACGAGTCTGGATGACGCTCGCCAGAACCTTGCCCACAACATCCAGCAGCGAGATACCCCGCCAATTATCACAGCGAGATAAATCCCCTTTCTTTGGGATGGGGATCAACGTGGCGTCCACCCACTCCTGCGGGACCACCCCAGCACGCCACACATCGCCAAACAGCTCCACGAGCTTGGCGGTGAGGTCAGGGCCACCCCTCTTCAGCATCTCAGGGAGGATGCCAGAGGCTCCAGCGGACTTGCCGTTCTGTAGGCGGGAGATAGCGCAGCTGACTTCACGGAGAGTCGGCACCTCAGCAAGATGATCAGCCTCCTGTCGCTGTAGGATGTCGTCCAGGGCATTGCGATTCCATGCACTTGCCACGTTGAGGAAACCGTCAAAGTGTCTTCCCCACCGGTGGCTCTGCTCCTCTGGTGAACTACAGATGTTACCGTTCTCATCCAGCACTGCGGAAGTGCGCACAGGGGCGAGGCCCCGGGTACAAGACTGGAGGTTATGGATGCACTTCCATACAACCGCTCCATTGAATTTCGACTCTGTGGCCGCCTGTGCCTTTGCCTTTATCCAGTCTACCCTAGCCGAGGATATGGAAGCACGCGCCCTGGATCTAGCCACCTTAAACGCTGTGTAGTGCGAGCAGTCGCGGCTCTGGCCACTACATACCCAGTCGGTATAGCACCGATTCCGTTCATCTAGCAATGGCTGGATGGCTGACTCTGCCTCCCGAAACCAGTTCTAGATGTAGTTCTTCCTTATATAGATCTATTAAATGAATCCACAATTACATAGAGCTACTGTCGGTCAACAGAGGTTTTGTAAACTTGCTTTTCTGAATGTATGCAGCCTTAGAAAGAAGTTAGGAGAAATCCAAAACTTCATTAACTACCACAATGTAGATATCTTCGGCATTGCTGAAACTTGGCTTGATCGTTCGATTTCTGACTCATCCATTCATATACCTCATTATAGACTCTTTAGGCGCGATCGCGGGCACAGACCTGGTGGCGGTATAGCTGTATACAGTCGAGATACCCTGGCTGTTTCCAGACACGCTGAACTCGAGAGTGACACAATCGAAAATCTGATACTCACCTTGAAGACAGAATCCGGTGAACCCATCACCCTCGCTACGTTCTACCTTCCGCCTTCCGCTACTGCTGCAGTATGGCAAGACCTAGAAATCAGTCTGAACAATCTAACCTTGCGACGAAACAACCGCGTGGTCGCCATTGGTGACTTCAATGTGGACAGGTGCTCGGGACACAGTCGGATGCACACCATGCTCCAGCGGTTTGATCTGGAAAACCACATCCGGACACCGACAAGAGTAACGGCATCAACTTCCACCCTAATAGATCTGCTCCTCGCCCCTAACTCTCTAGTTGGAACATGCACGGTCATCAAGTGTGATATCAGCGACCACTACGCATTTGTGGCCAACATTATCGTCGCCACCCGGCAGTCCGAACGAGTCGCATCTCGAAAGAGGCGAGTGTGGAGGATAAACTGGGAGCACTTTAACGCTGACTTGCAGGACTGCAATCTTGAGATTTTCAGCAAGTCGAATGATGTTGATACAATGATAAGCGAATGGTACGCAAAGGTTTTTACTGCTCTAGATCGTCACGCCCCCTTACAACATCCTCGTAAGCCGAGGCGCCGACCTTGCCCATGGTTGTGTCCTGAACTTGTATCTGCTGTGCGTCAACGAAACAAGGCCCACCGACTTCTTTCACGCTCTCCAGACGATGTCCGCCTGCGAGAGCAACACCGCACTCTCCGCGCAGCCGCGCGCAAGCTAGATCGGAGGCTAAGGGATCAGTATTTTCAAGCTCGCCTACAGTCGGCCGGAAAGGATGGGCGGAAGCTCTGGAATACGATAAACGTGGTGACTGGACGAGCGAAAAGTGCAAGCCCACCACAAGTACCTGTTGGAATCCTCTCCCGAACTTTTGGCGAAGTTGTACATGACCCTGGACGACCAGACGCGCTGTGTGCCAACGCACCAGCCGAACGTGAAGCACCAGCATTCACGGAATTTGCGCCTGTTTCGACGGAGGACATTACGGCCCTTCTCCAGTCCGTTGACGCGTCAAAAGCAACTGGACATGATGACTTGCCGGGTATTGTCCTTAGAAACTCGGCATCAATACTGGCTCCCTCGCTCAGCATGATTTTTCAATACTTCGTTATGTCAGGGGTGTGTGTTTTCCCCGTCAGTTTAAAATTGCTAATGTGTCGCCGCTATTCAAAGGTGGCGGTCTTGACCCTTGTCAGCCTACTGCGTATCGACCTATTTCTCTACTTATTATTATGACGACTTTATTCACTCCCAAAGCAGAAAAAGAAAGCTTGAAAGGAGGCATGAAGCACAGCACCGGGATCCATATGACCCAAGGGTGAAGTACCAATCAATGAAGATATAAGAAAATCCAGAACAAAATTTTGATAAACTTCATGAGAGAAAAATTCAACTATACCAACTTCGATACTCCCATAAAATCACAGTCATGTATAACAGAACTACTCAAGTAGTAAACACCAAGCATGCTGCACATGGGACACTCCAAGCAAGACAAACTCAGACGAAATATAACGGCATATGCAGAGAAAGAAAATACATGACTGGGGGCATATGGCAGAAATTCACGCCTCTCGGCTCGTCACACAGCACATGATGCACCACAATCATAAAACACACAGACTGAGACACATCGAGACATTACGGGCAGGCTAACATAAGGTCAACCGACCGTTCCGACCATGCCACTCTCCCATCCATGACCAGTCACCGACCGTACAATTCTCAGGGTATTATTATTATTATTATTATTCATGTTCGCGTTGATGTCAACAATGTTCACATCTTCGCATATGCCAGAACCAAACGATCAGTTGTATGATACTGTAGAAGCAAGAATGCATTTTAACGGTACAACACGACGGACAATATACTTTACTATGGTGATTGCAAGCATGGTCAGTGACTACCGAAACCTATGCGGGGAAATAATAGTCATGATGGAGTGGTAGATGCCAGCATACTGTGGCCTTCCTCAATATAGAGCACGGCAAAAGTCTCTCCACTCCTCGCGACTAGCTGCGGTAGATCGAAGGCTGTCTAGGTCCGCTGCTGTCTTTAATTTGCCCATGTTCTTCTTCTCCAAGTCCTTGGACAGGGTTGTGACCAACGTTGTTCTTGGTCGCCCTCGGAACGACCCTTCTCGACATACAAAGTATGCCTTCATTGCCATCACTGCCGGGGTATCACCAGGAAGCCGCAGGACATGGCCCATCAGTCTCCATCGGGCACGCTTGACCGTTGCGCTGATTGGTTCCGCACCACAGCGGGAGTATACGTTGATGTTGGAGATGCACTGTGGCCAACGGACGCCAATCAGGGACCTCAGCTGCCTTCTGTGGAAGGAATCGAGCCTCTCCTCAGTTGCTGCTGTCAAGCCCCAAGTGCCACAGTTGTACAGCAAAATTGGGACGATCAGGGCAGTGTACAGGCGGAGCCGAACCCGCTCGCTGACCTGTTTGCTGCGACGCCAGAGAGAGAACATGGACTGATATGCTGCTGATGCCAGCTGCTTTCTCCGGATCACATCTTGTTCGTCGCCGATGAGAGAGCCCAGCTTTCTTGTCGAGCGCCAATCTTCTGCTATACGGACCTTCTCCCGGGGAAATGTTGTCCTCTCTGTCTTGTCATGGTTGACGCGTAAATACCATTCACCCAGTACCTCCGCTGCAATGGGTTCGATATCCGTCAGCCACTGCCTCGAACTACTTATGAAGTCGGTATCATCTGCGTAGATCACTTCTGGCGGTAGGTGTTGGTCCTGTAGTGGACGGGGAGGTGCTGCGGCTCTGAAATCACGAAGAGCTGACTCTAGATATACAACAAAGAGAACTGGTGATAGTGCATCACCTTGTGGTGTTCCCACGTTGGTGTTGAAGAGCGATGACATATCGGTGCCTAAGCGAATGCGTAGGGTAGTGTTGCATAGAAGCACGCGGATGAGTCGGATGTTGTCTTCGCCGACAATGGGTTCCATTACTGTCAAAAGCTTGGCCCTGGAAACAGTGTCGAATGCCTTCGACATGTCTATCCCGAGCACTTCAATTGTTGTGCGGTGTTTCTGGGTTAATGCAGCGAGCCAGCGATGGGTCCACACAGCATCAGCGGTTGACCTTCCAGGTCGGAAACCACTGTGGGTAGCGCTCAGATAATCGTTGACAGCTGGTTGAATCCTCCGGAGAGCCAGCAGTGAAACAGCTTTCCGTACAGAGTCCAAAAGAACAATGGACCTTAGATTGGCTGGTGGACCTCGCTTCTTGCTTTTGGAGAGGGATGACGATTCCTGATCCCAGATCAAGAGGGCTATGATGCTCAAACATACGATTAAGGCAATCAGTTAGGTTTCCGATTAATATGGGCCCTGCATACTTCAGCAGCTCCGCTGCTACACCGTCTGGGCCTTACGATCTGTTGTTGTTCAGCCTGGTGATACTTTGCTGCAGCTCTTCAGTCGTAATAGGTCGTTGTAATGGCCTTGGCTCTCCGACAAAGGGTTCCAGGATCCTGCCACCTGGCACGCTGAATTGTTTACAAAAATGGCCTTTGATAATATCAACGGACTCCGCTGCATTGCCAACAATATGGCCATCGACATCCTCAACAACTGGTCTTGGTGCTTTCTTCCTTGTCAACAGTGCAACAGCCTTGTACATTTGGGCTCCATCCCTCTGCCTCTCCACTTCCTCTGCCATAGCATCTAGTCTCCGCTCAGCATTCTCCCTGCAGCGTCTTCGAATCTCATGCGATATACGGTTTCGCTCTTGCTTGAGCTGTGCGGCCTTGTCATTGCCGACGGTATTCATAATACGGAGACGCAAATCCTTCTGTGTTTCCGATAATGCATCAATCTCCGGGTCCAGTGTGCAATGCCTATTTCTCGGCTTGTTGGCATATCCCACTGCAGCAGCAGCAGCCTGCTTGATGGCACTCATGGCTTTGCTGAAGTATTCTTGGCTCGATTCATCCGCAGAAGGCAGTGGTAACATTCTCTCCACTTCCTTACGGTACTTCTGTTGAGCACCAGTGCTCTGCACTAGTTTTGGCACATTGAACTGTTTCTTAGCAGAGGAGACCTTTCGTGCTACATCATGCTTTGCCATTATCCCGTAGAGTCTGTCGAGCTGGATGTCGGCCACAACCAAACGATGGTCTGTGGAAATGCAAATGCCTCCGTAGCTCCGGTTGTCCCTCAGCAGTCGCTTTTGCCCTTCTCTACACACGACATAATCAATCTGGTTGTATATTGGTACAGTCTTTCCAGAACCCATGTCTCTCCGATATCCTGTCCAAGTGGTCTTGTGGCGTGCAGCATGCTGGAAAGTCGTGTTGGCAAAGTATAGCTTGTTTGACTCACAGAAGTCCACCAGAGTCTGTCCATTGATATTCCTTCGGCCACGTCCATGACTTCCAAGCGATGACTCTCCCGCACGTCGAGTTCCAACTTTGGCGTTGAAATCACCAATAACATAAAATAGTGTACAATTTCGAATTTCATCATAAGCTTTTTGGAGTGCTGAGTAAAACAAATCCAGCTCGTCCGCCGACTGAGCACACCTCGCAGCAGTTGGAGCATAAACGTTGATGACACCAATATCGGCTCTTCCGGCGTTCCGTCTGTTTCCGTCGAGCCTGCCCCCATGACCTGTTTTCAAAATCCCGCTGAACGTAACGACGGCCACACGGTCTGAAACCTGTCAAAGCCGGTTGATATTTCCTGTGAAGCGTGAGGAGATAGCGAAGCCCAAACCATAATGCCGACACACAGGAGGAAAGCTAATAAGACGATAGCCGTCGGCTTCAGTATCCAGGTCCTTCACCAACTTCGTTTCTTGAATACAACAAATATCAACTCTGTAGGAATTTAATCCGCGTTTCAAACATTCCTGCTTCACTCTCGACGACAACCCTTGAACGTTGAGCGTCGCTATCCTAAGTGTCGCTATCCTAAGTGTCGCTAAAGAACGCCTTGGTTTACTGTTACAGTCCATTATAGTTCCGATAAATACAAACCCCTCCGAAGAGAGAGAGAAAGCGTAACCTTCCTCAACCAAGCAAAAAAAATTTCTCTACTACCAGTCGTTTCTCGCCTCCTCGAGAAGATCGTCAAAGCTCAGCTTACATCCTTTCTGACCGATCACAGTATTCTCCCTGACTCGCAGTTCGCGTACAGGAAGAACCACAGTACGGAGGACGCTCTTGTGCTAGCTGTCAATCGCTGGCTGAAAGCGAAGTATGAGCGAAAACTCACAGGTGTGATATTCGTGGATATGTCGAAGGCTTTCGACTGTGTCAAACACACCATCTTGGCACAGGAGCTATCCGACATTGGAGTCGGCGGTACTGTCCAGCTATGGTTCACTAGTCACCTGAGTGAGCGGCTTCAACGCGTAGTTGTGGGCGGAAATTGCTCGGAATACGTCGCATGCAGTCGAAGGGTCCCGCAAGGATCCGTCCTCGGTCCCCTCCTGTTCACACTATACATCCGTAACCTTCGATGCTGCTTGCCCCAGCAGGTCACAAACCAGGAATTTGCAGACGACATTGCAATTGAAGCCTCGGGCAGTTGCGAACAAGTGTGCTCTTTTCTAAGCACAGCCGTCACTGGCCTGTCGCAGTGGTTGGAGGACCGCGGACTAATGCTGAACCAAAAAAAACGCAAGCTCTGTTGATTACCCCAAGAGGCCCAGCCCCTGACACAGATAACATTCGAATTCGCTGTGGGAATGCAGCCCTTGCAGTTGTGGAACAAGCGCGGTACCTGGGCGTAATGGTAGATGGGCAGCTCTCCTGGGAGCCTCACGTCAATCACACAATCCAGCAGGTGCGGAAGTCAGTAGGTGCGCTGTGGCGGAGCCGCCGAAGCCTCACCCTGGCGTCAAAGATCCTGTTTTACAGGTCGATGATCCAGGGTAGGTTGTCGTACGCTTCCAACGCCTTTTATCCGTCACTTCAAATTGGCAACATGGAGCCCCTCACACGTCTAACGAAGTGCGCTATCCGCGGCATCTTCGGTCTGCCACCGTGGTCGCGCACGAGCCCGATCTTTGAACAGCTCCGCCTCACCACCCTGGAGGACATGTTTAACATTAAGCTCCTCATCTTTGTCCGTCGTTGTCTGTTCTCCCGAGCTAGCTCCCTCTTCACCAGCTTCTTCGTGAGAGTTACTGGTGACCGCACTCGGGGAGCAGCACATCACCTCGTTCGAGTACCATTTTGGCCCGGTCCTGCGGGTCGAGCGACCATGCAGTTCATCGGCGCAGTCTTGTGGAACCAGCTCCCGCTTGATCTCCGTTCCGAGCCCAGCCACCTTCAGTTCTGTGCCCTGCTAAAAGCGCGTCATGGCTCCGTTTAAATGCTTTTCGGCTAGTGTGTTTCTGTGGTATAGCGGACTGAAGAATAGTAAACATGTTTTGCAATATATGTATGAAGCTATTTTGTATATAGTATGTTCCCATTCCGTTTTTGCTTTGGTGTAGCCCTGAGGTTGATTGCTTATTTATTTCTACCCTTACTCTCTCCATACTTCTGTCCCCCCTCTCTCTCATTCCTTCTGTCGTCCACATGTATCAAAGGAGGCGAAATCACCTGTTTGTGGTGCGACGTTAAATAAACTTCTACACCAACAACAACAACAGTCTGGTTGGCGACGCCGGGAGAAGCCCAAGACAGACGCAGCAGACTGGTCGATAGCCGCCTTGACGTTGGACCATTTCTGGTCTATGTCGTGCTGTTCTTGCCATATCTACAAGCTCGGTTGCCATGGTAGCTTGGTACCTTTCTGCAGGAGAAGGTGAGTCCGGATCCGAGGTGCAGGTGCGCATCCCCAGCCGGGCAACATCATAACGGCGGCGCCGCACATTTGCCTGGTCGCGCTCCCGAACTAATCGTCCACACGGGAGTGCAAAAGTTAAACAGAGGAGTTGGTGGTCACTTCCACACTCAGCACTGCGCGCGACCGCAGTGTCCATACACCAAGGGCGGTTCTCCTGGCGCACTAGGATGTAGTCGATACAGTGCCAGTTCAAAGTGCCTGGGTGCTGCCAAGTCCGCTTGAAGAGGTCTCGCTTGGGAAACCAGGTGTTACAAATGCTCAACTGATTGAATGCAGCAAATGATAGCAGGTCAGCTGAAGAGTTGACAAGCCCCCGAGCGGATTTCCACAACATCGCGCAGAATACAGCTGAGAGACGGGACGGCACACACACACCACACACACACACACACACACACACACACACACACACACACACACACACACACCTTGGACCTTGGACCTTGGACGCCCATCGCCGTAAGGCGATGATAGCTAGCGAGCTGAGCAATATCTTGCATGGCGTTTGAGGTCTCCTGACCGACCAAAAACGCGACCACAGGGGCAGGGGAATGTGTCCACCCTCTGCACAGGAGCGCGACGATGCTGTGTAAGTTGCCTCCAATCTGCGCGGTTCTGAGCTGCGTCATACCAGCCCCTATCCGAGATCTCTGCCTCCTTCAAGTCAGCGCTGATGACATCCCGGTACCTCTTCCTGGGACCATGGCGAGGGCGGGTTGCTGAGAGCTCCCCGAAGAGAACCTGTTTCGGCAAGCGGCCCGAAGCCATCCTCGCAACATGGCCTAGCCAACGAAGACGGTGGCAGCGAATCAGGTCATCAATGTTCGCAGGCAGCCCAATCCTCTGCGCAATCTCTTCGGTGGAAATCCTCTCCTGCCACTGTTTGGACCGGGAAACACCAAGGATGACGCGGCAGCAAGCATGGTGGAAGGTGTTGAACTGCTGCAAGTGGGTGGCTTTCACGGCCCAAGTCTCCGCACCATAGAACAGTGTAGTGAGTACAACGGCTTGATAAACTAGTTTCTTGATAGCAACGGAGAGACATCCACACTGGAAGATAGGTCTCTGCAGGGAACCAAACACGCGAGATGCCTTGGCAAGTCTTGCCCGAACCTCATCATCAAGGGCACCGCTGCCACTGATGGTGCTGCCAAGATAGGTGAAATTTTCCACCACCTCAATGTCCCCTCCAGAGTCCAGACGAACCCCAGGCGGATCGACACCATTCACCACCATAGCTTTGGTCTTGGCCGTGCTGACTGTTAGGCCCCACTGAGAGGCGCATCCGACGAACTCGTTGGTCATGACCTCAAGGTCCTGGTGCGAAACGGCATAGAGTGCCGCATCATCCGCAAACTGGGATTCTGTAACCTCAGTCGCAAGAAGTCGGGATTTGGCTGTTCGATCTCCGACCAGCTTTCGACCGATGCGATACCGCAGGGTCACGCCAGGTACAGATGAGTGTGAGCGCCACGCAGATACAACAGCTGCAAAGTAGATGTTGAAGAGGGTGGGCGCCAATGTGCAGCCCTGTCGGAGACCATTGTTGACAAAGATGTCCTCCGTATATCCCCCACCAACTCGCACACGCGCCCTCATGCCGACATGAAGGCTCCGGATCAACTGCAGCAGATGCGGGGGCACACCAACCTTCTCCAGTACACGCCACAGCGCTGGACGGGGAATTGAATCATACGCCTTTCTGAGATCAACTAATAGGACGTACAATGGAGTATCGTGTTCAACGGACTTTTCAATGAGTTGGCGTGCCACGAATATCATGTCGACACAGCCGCGTCCTTTCCTAAATCCGCACTGTGATTCAGGCAAGTTACTTTCGGTCAAAGGGCGGAGACGGTCCTGGATGATGCGAGCAAATAGCTTGCCAACAACGTCTAGCAAGCTAATGCCACGCCAATTGTCACATCGATGTAGATCACCCTTCTTCGGTATTGTCACGATTTCGGCATCGCGCCACTCAGGCGGGACGGATCCACTCAACCAGACGGCACGGATCAAGTTAAATATACGCTGATGCAAAGCAGCGCCGCCATGAACAAGCAGATCCGGAACAATCCCCGACTCCCCACCAGCCGTGCCAAGGTTCATCTTCCGCATGCCACGAATCACCTCATCGAAACTAGGAGGCTGATCTAAGTCGTTCCAAGTCTCCGCAGCAGGCATGTCCTCCAGCACTGTGATATCATATGTGCTGGCAACATTCAGCACACCCTCGAAGTGTTGGCCCCAGCAAACCCTGAGACCAACCGGGTCGTTTACAAGGATGCCGTCCCGATTGTAGACAGATGATGTGCCCACAGGGTGTCGTCCACTATGTATCCCTTGGAGCTTTCGTATTGCCTTCCATCTTGTGCAGCCATCCCTCTGCGCATGCTCTGCCTCCCCCGCGACATCAGCAATCCATTTTTCTTTTGCAGCACGGACCGCACGTCCCACGGACCGCTGGCGAGCTCTAAACTCCTTGCGTGTGGTGACAGTGTCATGGCCGAGCATCCTCTGGTGTGCCTGCCGCTTCTGCTCGATCAGCGGCTCCAATACTGCCTGACTCTCCACGAACCAATCCGGCTGTCTCCGCTTCCCATGGCCAAGCACATTTGCCGCAACATCGCGGATATCTCCACACAGTGAGTTCCAGGACTCCTGCACGTTGCTTTCCTCATCGATGTCAGGCGCATTCAAGCAGATATTCTCCATCTCCTGGCAGTACTTTTCCCTCACCCCGGCACTCCGCAGGTTATGAACGGCATAGGGTTTCCGCTTGCTGGGTTGTTTGCGAGGCAATACAAAATCAAGGGAAAGCTTAATACGGACCAAGTAGTGGTCTGTCCAACAGAGGGCACCACGCAACACACTTACATCTCGACAGTAACAACGGTGCTCAGACCGCATGATTGCATAGTCTATCAAATGTTCCTGCCGCGTTGCTGGATGAACCCATGTGCCGCGCTTATGCTGTTTCTTTTTGAAAAATGTGTTCATGATCGTCAGGCCATGGGATGCACAGAACATCAAAAGGTTCTCACCAGCTTTATTGCGTCGACCCATTCCAAAACGTCAAAGAACGCCACTCCAGCCTTGACCGTTTCCAGGAATGTCCTCAACACGCGCGATTTCGTCAGTGACTCCACCATACAACGACCCAACACGAGCGTTGAAATCTCCGAGGAGTAATAAAACGTCACCAGGTTCGACTGCCGAGATCACCGCTTCCAGGTCGCTGTAGAATTGATATTTTGTAGCTGGAGTTGCTTTGCTTGTTGGGGCATACGCGTTGACTACAGTCAAAAAGAAATCGGAGCGCCGCCGCAATCCAAATCCCTGCCGAACTCTGTCATCCTTCGCTCCGATGAGAATCCGAGCAGATACAATACGAGAACTGACGGCTCTCCACTGTTCGCCGCCCCGCCGCCACAGGTCCGTCAATTTCGCGTTCATGATAATGCCTACGCCTTCGTTCCGTCTCCGCGGCTCGTTTTCCCCAGGCAGCGGCCGACCAGAATGGAGAAAGACACCACCGCCAACAGGCCATATATCGTTCCCGAACCACTGCGTCTCTTGAATGCCGGCTATGTCGATTTTGAATTTGTTTACCTCGTTGGACAATATATCAAGCTTCCTGTCAACAGCATTTCCGCCCGCCGCCGCGCGTCTTCTACAAGTCCTTGCGTCGTCACCCTCCTCCACCAGAGAGCGAACATTCCAAGTCGCAGCCGCCAGGACACTCTTTCCTGTCCTCTTCCCTTTCCTCTTCCCACTCGTCACCATTCCGAATTCAAATTTCAAAAAAACGAAACTCAAAAATTGCTCAGCTCGTCTTGTGCAGTGCGCTCAACAACTTCCAACAGACAACTTGCAAGGTCGTCCGCTGGGCCACCACAGCCATGGCCTGGTCTTCACCACACGGTCCATGGCTGCTTAGGGTGGCTACAACATCCTGAGGCAGGAGCTCTCAAAAAGCAACCCTCCCTCTCCAAGCACATAAGCAACACACAACGCGGCACACACACACACACCTTGAACCTTGAAACTGCCACCTAAAGGTGATGCAGTGCCTCAAAGAGGCAAGGAGGGCAGAGTTACTTCTTGCATTTGTGTTGAGCCAGGTACTGGAGACGTGTGAACTTCCGAGAGCAGGTCGGGCATGGGAAGGTGCGGCGCTCGGAGCCAGAGCTGCATGTTCTGCGGTTGCAGTTGCAGTTGTGCCGGCGGTGCCCAGCTTTGCTCCGGAAACAGCGGTCACAGGTGTGGCAGTGGTAATGACATTGGCTGCAATCAGGCGGGCGAGGTGCAACAATCTCTGGAACTGGAGCGTCACCAAGACTGGGAGAGCAGCTGTGCACAGCAAATCCACCTCGGCTAGCAAACCAACGATGGCACGTTTCGCACAACACAGCACCGGCCTGTTCATGGATCGGCTTCAGTCGCTCTTCCCTGCATTTGTGCCGCCGAAGTCCGCTTTCACTGGCGAAGAGTCGCTCACAGATCGCACAACACACTGACTTCTACACACACACACACACACACACACACACACACACACACATACGCACACACACACACACACACACGCACACACACGCACACACACACACACACGCACACACACACACACACACACACACACACACACACACACACACATTAACAAGAACACACATTGCTTGGGTGGATGGTGCGCGGCCCGCGAAATTGAATTGCATTTGCCCGGGGGCAAGTAATAGCAGGGTTGGCAAGAGCCAAGAGCCCACTGATGCATTTAATGGAGAAATGGAGAGCCGCCGGGCACCGTTTATTGGGGTTTACTTTATAAAAGTAAGCGTGTGAGAATGAAATCATTAAAATGGGAGTGGGAGGGTTATTATTATTATCACATGGCACGTGATTGTTGCCCGTACGCAAGAGAATCAGCACCTTTCGCGCCGCGGGCAATAATATGCGATATTGCCCGCAAAAAAATAGTTTATTTGCCCGCAAAAAATAGTTTATTTCAGTGATCGCGTGACTACGACGAGTCTCGGACTCTGTAGACTGTACGACTCTACGACGAGTCGCAGTGTAGCACTGAGACGAAAATGGAATTCTTTTTGGAGATGGACATCCCGGCAATGGACATGGCCTCGGACGTCTGCCGTGTGGTGCTTGCAGGGATCATTTGTTCAGTCATGTTGGCAGCCTGACCGTCGGTAAGCTTGTGGATAAGATTCAGTTCTGCTCGAAGTGGTACTGTGATCACAAACAATTATTTGAAATAACACAAATTGAACTCAACGTCGTGCGTTTTCAAATCCTCGCAAAGTCACTGCCTGTGTGTGGTCTTCATGTGCCACGCAAAACTCTTACCAGGCTCATCTGTCCTCTGCCTTCACCTTTGCTTGAACAACAAACACAACAATTCAGGAATGTTTTGCAATGAAAAATACAGCTATATCTGGAGCTGAAAAAAAGAAGAAAAATTGTCCTCAGAATTACACACCAGGGAGTCGACAAATCCTTGCACTTGTTGCAGTACTGTATTCGACAACTTCCTGATACACATGTAAACATGAAGAAACTCTTTGTGGTAGCACTCTTAATTTTTCAACTGAAATTATGATTCTGCTGTATTTTATTGTCGTTGCCATGTCTATTGCTATGACGATGCGGTGCCGGCACTTTTTTTCTGTCTCCGTCTTTCAGTACTGTATACTCTCTGATGGCCTGTAGCAGACTAATTCAAAAGATAAAACTCGAGAAAGTACCAAGGCATCTTTTTCCCTATGACTGGTTTGTGCGGAGCCGTTCAACCAAGCATGTTGCTGTGGAAACTGCGTCGAATAGAAAGGGGGAAAACATGAGCGAGAACATAGAGTTGTGCAGAGGAGAAATCACGGGGCAAGCAAAATAGCATTTTTAATCATTTTCGTTGGCAAACTTCGAGCTTGTCTGATATCGTGGTTGATAACCCAAACCACGCTACGTCACAGTAGTCGAAGATCGGACAAATATACAAAGAGAAAAAACAGAGGTCTACAGTCGTGAGGCAGATAACGGCAGTGAGGCTTCAGAGTTCCTAAAATTCTGGATGCTTTAAGGCAAATATGGTCAGCATGTTCGGACCATGATAGCTTCGAGTCAAGAACGATTCCCAGGTGCCTGTGAGAAGTTACAACTTCCAGGGCCTGGGTGCAGTTCGGAAACGTCAACGGTGCAGATGGTGGACGTGCAGAAATATACAACACTTTTGTCTTCTGGACATTGGGCTGTAGCTTCCAGATCTTCATCCAGTTTACCACGTCATCGATGCCCTGCTGGAGTGATACCGTTAGTTCGTGTTGTTGTTGTTGTTGTAGAAGTTTATTTAAAGTCGCACCACAAACAGGCGATTTCGTCTCCTTTGATACATGTGGACGACAGAAGGAATGAGAGAGAGGGGGGGGAAGAAGTATGGAGAGAGTAAGGGTAGAAATAAATAAGCAATCAACCTCAGGGCTACACCAAAGCAAAAACGGAATGGGAACATACTATATACAAAATAGCTTCATACATATATTGCAAAACACGTTTACTATTCTTCAGTCCGCTATACCACAGAAACACACTAGGCGAAAAGCATTTAAACGGAGCCATGACGCGCTTTTAGCAGGGCACAGAACTGAAGGTGGCTGGGCTCGGAACGGAGATCAGGCGGGAGCTGGTTCCACAGGACTGCGCCGATGAACTGCATGGTCGCTCGACCCGCAGGACCGGGCCAAAATGGTACTCGAACGAGGTGATGTGCTGCTCCCCGAGTGCGGTCACCAGTAACTCTCACGAAGAAGCTGGTGAAGAGGGAGCTAGCTCGGGAGAACAGACAACGACGGACAAAGATGAGGAGCTTAATGTTAAACATGTCCTCCAGGGTGGTGAGGCGGAGCTGTTCAAAGATCGGGCTCGTGCGCGACCACGGTGGCAGACCGAAGATGCCGCGGATAGCGCACTTCGTTAGACGTGTGAGGGGCTCCATGTTGCCAATTTGAAGTGACGGATAAAAGGCGTTGGAAGCGTACGACAACCTACCCTGGATCATCGACCTGTAAAACAGGATCTTTGACGCCAGGGTGAGGCTTCGGCGGCTCCGCCACAGCGCACCTACTGACTTCCGCACCTGCTGGATTGTGTGATTGACGTGAGGCTCCCAGGAGAGCTGCCCATCTACCATTACGCCCAGGTACCGCGCTTGTTCCACAACTGCAAGGGCTGCATTCCCACAGCGAATTCGAATGTTATCTGTGTCAGGGGCTGGGCCTCTTGGGGTAATCAACAGAGCTTGCGTTTTTTTTGGTTCAGCATTAGTCCGCGGTCCTCCAACCACTGCGACAGGCCAGTGATGGCTGTGCTTAGAGAAGAGCACACTTGTTCGCAACTGCCCGAGGCTTCAATTGCAATGTCGTCTGCAAATTCCTGGTTTGTGACCTGCTGGGGCAAGCAGCATCGAAGGTTACGGATGTATAGTGTGAACAGGAGGGGACCGAGGACGGATCCTTGCGGCACCCCTCGACTGCATGCGACGTATTCCGAGCAATTTCCGCCCACAACTACGCGTTGAAGCCGCTCACTCAGGTAACTAGTGAACCATAGCTGGACAATACCGCCGACCCCAATGTCGGGTAGCTCCTGTGCTAAGATGGTGTGTTTGACACAGTCGAAAGCCTTCGACATATCCACGAATATCACAC